TTATGAAGATGTAACTTCATTAAACATCCTGGACATTTTGACAGAGAAAATGTTTCATTCTGTAGAAGGCCAAAATGTTGACTTAAGTACCTCAACATTGCCATAGCAAGCTACCACTGATTTCAGTTCAGAAATCAAATCGAATAAAACTTCATAAAGAAACTAATTTTTTTATTTTATAATACAGTGAGGATCTGATATATTTAGAGCTAAACAAAAGTGGAAATAGGGGCTGAACTGAAATAAATTGGAAGAAAATTACACCATTCTGTTCAGTAACACCTGAAAGGAATATTGTATTATACTCTCCTATCCTTTTACGGAAATATTTTAAAATGTATAATTATGGGAGAGGATTTTGATAAGAAGCCAAGGGAGTTAGGCATTTGGCTGGGATCACATTTTACAATTAGAACACCTTCCAGCCTTAGTCTCCTTCCCCTGCAGAAACAATAAACATCAGTGAGACTGCTGAACTGAATCTTACCAGACACGTGGAAGGTAAAACTGTCCTATTTTACCCAAAGAAAGTCCTTTCTACACATCCTCTCTGCACATCCCAGTATATTTTTTTTTTTTTGGCTTTTTACTCGTGTGGCTCTCCTATTCCAATTATATTTCTCAGGTCCTTCTTCCAAAATCCCCCACTGAGCAGCAGCATTTCTTCCGTTTCTTATGATGAAGATTTTTTAATCCATTAGCTACCTTCATTCCTGTAAACTGGCAGGAGACTTAAGCTGAAGATGAATTGAGGGAAAATGTTATGTGTATATCAAGTACTGGACTGTGCTTCATTTTTGCCAAACCTAGCAGTTCTAAAAGAATGGTTTCATTAACTTTGAATACTTTTGTCCATCTTTTACTACATTAAAGGAAGGTCTATTGACCTTGGAAAGAGATAGAAATCTGCCCACAGCAAGTCATCCTACCTATTTCCAATGCCAAGCTAAAAAGCATAAAGTGACATGAAGTAGCAATACTGTCCATGTTTATCGTAGTATGCATTCGTTCCTGCCTTTGAAATGATAATCCAGTCAAACTGCGAAAGGCCAACGCTCAGCAAAAAAAGTCTGTTAAACCTTTACTGGCAAGCCTTATAGGCTTGATTCGTTGCCTATTTCTCTAATTTGTAGTTCTCCTAACTCTACAGATGTGAATGGAATTAAACAGGAATGATACTGAAAAAATGTGGTAATAATCCCAAGGCCATAATCAATCTTTTTAGACCTATGAAGCTGGTATAAGGCTGTCTGTCTGTCTGGAATTACTTCTGATATTTTCTACGAGAAGGCAAAATCATATTACACAGAGAATTGAGAAGTAGATTCCCAGGTTAAGCCCATCTCTAACAAATGTAGGTTACAGCGCAGGTGAAGTTGGCTCAGTCTTAATCAGATGGATGTCCAATGCCTATCAGTGCCACTCAAAGGGGTTTCATAGCATACACTCTGAGTGACTGTGTGAGAGTGCAGGACCCTTCAAGGTTATTATTCTGTTCTTTTTATAAGATTAGCTGCCCCAATTAGCACAGAGTGACTTCTTAATGCTGGGTCCCAACATATGAAATACTCCACACCTCCTCAGACTTCAGAAACCAGTGGGGTTTTTGCCAGTGATCCCTGGCATCAATTATAGTGCTGAAAAACTTTGAACAGTTACTTGCATGCCATCTGCGTAACTGTAAAGCAACACCAAATTAAATTTGTTCCAGGACCTGCCATGTGTGGAGGAGGAGTTGTGTTCTATTTGCAATCATGTTATGTTTCTTTATTAGAATGAACCTTAACAAAGAATACGCACGTAAATGTATTTACTCCTCCCAAAATGCAAATACCATTGGCCAGTTTGTGAGGAAGGAAGAGCATCCTCTGTTTACCTGTTCATTTGCTAAAATCCCCCAAACCCCACCTTTCTACACTCTCTGAATCAATCTGGGACTGAAGCCAAAGTTACCTACTATATAAGAGTGACAAAGCACAGGTGAACTACTGGTCCTGATCAACTTTAGACCCAACATCCTTGTGCCAAACTCCACTCAAGATGGGGTTTGGCAGGGGGATGAGGCTACCAGAATGGGCTTTCCTATTAACAATGTGCTTTGTCCATCAGATAGGTAAGAAGTCGCCTTTTTTATTGGGAAAAGAAAAAATGCTCTGTTTAGATCTAGTAATATATTTTAAACAACTATATACATTGATTCATTTGGTGGCATTTAAAGAGGATTTCTTTATATATTTTCATTGAACATTTAATGTGTGTCTAATAACTGGACTGAGTTAATTTAATATTGCCTCAAACTTCGGTATATAACTACATTTGGAAAGTATCCTTGAAGATCAAATCCAAAAGAACCATAATTCATTTCTCAAAATGTCGGGTTTTCAGTATCGCTTATGCCTTACAAAAGCATTTTATTGCTGTTGCATTTTGTATTAGGATTCATTATTAATGTTATGAGGTTTTTTAAACCTAAAACACTGCATTTTCCAGTTGCCAGATCAGACCACTGGTCAATCTTTTCCAATATTTTATCAGCTACCAGGGGCTAATACCAGATTCCTCAAGGTTTCTTGCAACTTTTTTTGCAAAAGAGACTAGGAGTAAATATTCATATTGTAAGGGTTTTTAGTAACTAATTGTGCCTTTATATTTATATGTAAATTACAGATATTGAATATGAGCAGGATGGGGAGATTTATCTGACACATACAATCCATCATTTTGTATGGGGTTTTTTTCCTCCTGTTAATATTATATCCATCAGGGTTGGTCTTGGCAGTTTTCACTAACATGAGTAATCCTGTTAAGTCAGTTGAATCACTCAAATTGAAATTATTTGCATGACTACAAGCTTTATAAGTTGGTCCCATTTATGTAATTTCTGCCCTGTCAGCTAACATTTTTGAGTCTGCAGAGTCCCTATGTAAATTTATCTTGCACATAATTTCCAAAACATTGAGAAATGCAAGTACAATTTTAGGATGCTTTATAGTTTGTTCAATAAACACTTAATTACTGGCAAGTTGATTTGTATTGTACTTGAAAATACAACAGTCACGTAGAGTATAAACCTATGTTTAGAGTGATGCAATGTCAGTCAAAAGCATCTTCAGCCATTCACTGAGCAAGAAAGTTATTTCTCCTTAGCACTGCACTCCTATGCAGTGCTAATCTGCTAAGCTGCTTTGAAAAATGAGTGATGGCTAGACAGTGTCCAGCAAACACCTCTTTATTTGAATCACACCTGTTGAAAATATTGTCCAATGTCCTGACTAAAGAATACAGGTCCTATCCCATGCCATCTCCTCAAACATTTTGTGCCTGGCTTTATATTAACTTCTATAAATTGATCATAAAAATAATTGCATATGTGGATTGCAGCTGAATATAGGCTTAGCAAGATGCATCCAAATATTTTTAATAATTACATTGGTTTCCAAATTATCAAATAGTAAATTATCTTAACTATTCTTACAACTGAGAGATACTTATTTTTATAATGGTCAACAACGTGGCATTGTGTAATTGCTGAATAAAGCAATGCAGCTAGAATTTCCTTGGGAATTATGTATTTGCTGAGTAAACAAAAGCCTTTACTTGAGAAAAATTAACAGACCAAAATACATGTTTTGTTCTGTTACAAAGGTTCCCACGCTAGAATAAACAAACCTTCTATGATTCTATGCCTTCTGAGATTCCTACAGATGTGTTGTGTGAGAGCAAACTTTGTCCTATTATTGAGACTTAGAGGTATTTCTCTCACCTGATGAGTATCAGTCATAATGCAATGAATGCCTTTACTTACTGTTATTATCTATTATTCACAAAAACAAGAAGAAAGGGAAAAAGGTTAAGCTCTGTTCTGCGTTACTTCTCTGTATATCATTAGGATCACACATAAAGAGAAAAGAATTAAAAGCCTAGAGCTGAAAAAACCTGCAGACACTGCAGCAACTTCAAGCTATGGTGGGGCTACCCAGAACCCTCTCTTCCAAAGCCAGAAGTCTCTTGGAGTCCTTTTTTGGAGCGGGGACTGAAATTCCTTCAAGCAGGCATTCTTCTTCAGCTCTGGGATCAAACACTAAATCTGCTAATGTTGTTGACAAAGTTGTATTAGAAAAATATTTTTTTAAAAAAAAAGGTGCTCCTGATCCAGTTCTTTTAAAGGCAAAGATAATTGTTCAGTTTTCATGGAGGTGTGTGGGCTGAGGTTCTTCAGGGAAGAAAATGCTCAGCAAGGAACATAAGCACCAAAGGGAACTGGGGTTTATGGCCCTCCCACCTCTTGCACCAATTTGGCTTCCAGTTCAGTGATATGGTTCTTACGGATTCAGTTCTTAGTCAGGCAACTCTTCTCACCCATTGTGTAAGGAGAAAAGAGGCTTAATTTAGGGCTAAATTACATTGGCAGTTCTGCTTTGACTGAGAAATTGTCTAGAAGCCTACAGTGCTCATTCACATAATCCAGATAAGGATTCAGATATTAGTCATTTCATCACTTAAATCCTGTGAGGATTTAGACTTGGCAGGTTGTAGGTGCATGTTAGTCAATATGTTCCAAGCACAGTTATCACATGCTGACTGTATTCAGTCCTTCACAAAATAAAGTTGTAGCCCTTCAACTTTTACAGGAAATGCCTGCCATATTTACTCATAAAATACAAGAGCTTAGAGCACCAACCAAGGAGATCCGAGCCAGTCTTTTTCTAGACTTCAAAGCACTCAGGTCAGAGTTTGTCATTTCTCAAAAGTCTTTGCTTCAGGTGGGGTAGCAAGAACTCTTGGTCAAATAGACTTGCATCATGATGCTGTTAGGTTTTCTGCAGAGAACATGTGAGTTTGAACCATATTTGAGCCTTTTTCTTTTTTTCTGATGTAATAATTGACTCTCCCCTTCATTTTACAGAGATGTATTTGAGGCCTTTGATACTATCTAAGTGCTTTGGAAGTTCAGATACAGGACATTATTCTTAATATGCTTTTTACCATTTTTTTCACAGGAGGTCAAATTGGAATCCAAATAGGAGGCAAACTCTCTGGGGGTCTTCTACAAAAACAAAATGGTACGTTTCTTTATACTGCATATTTGTACTTATTTACTACATCTATACTAAATACTAAAAATGCCTAAAAAAACCTCCTTAGCATATTGCCAGTAGTGTCAAATAAAGAGAAATTTGTATTAACAAGCCTGTCTCTCTCTCTCTCTAAGAATAGTAATAGATTTATTAGACATCAGCTACTGCACACACACAGATTATGGTTATATTTCTATAATCATAGTTAACTAAGAAAACAGATGTGTGTTTGTAGAGGCTGTATGCATATGTGCATGAACATGTATATATAAAAATCAAAGTGGAATATATGTGCAGGATGTTTGGTTCCTTATAAACACGGAAATGAAACCACTGTAATGTGCTGTAAAGTCAGTGGCTGATGTTGGAAAGTCAAAATGTCAGTCTATCATCATTGATTTTCACCATGTAATGATTTGTGACCATCCTGTACAACCAATTTCTGGCCATTTCAAAGGGTTTTCAGCCTGCAACAGAAAAATATAAAACAGAGAGCAAATGTGATAATTGAGGTTTTTATTCCCTCCTTAGAAAGAGGAGGTGTAATAAGAAGGCAACTATGCTTTTGTACCAGTAAGAGGCTAATTTTGTACAGCTTAGCCCTTTGTATTGTTCAGTGTGTCTGAAGCACTCCAATATGCGGAGCTGTGAATTTCTGCTTTCCTAATGCAACACCGAGTTTCATATAAGGGTCAAAATTAAAATGTAGAAAATGCAGATCATCACAGTTGAATGCAATATCTTATGATTTAACTATTCTGAGTTTGAATTTTAGTATGCACTTTTAACCTGACCCATGGCCTGTGGAAAATAAAACAGGCATAAAACGTTATTTCATTGGATCTAGTATATTAACTGTCGAGTCCTTTCTAGGTCTGCCCTAGGTGCAAATTTTGGTGTTGTACTAGTTTTTGTTTTCTTTCTTTTTTTTTTTCCCCTAGCTTCTCTCAAAGTTTCAGCAAAGTTGAACTTCATCCCATCAATGCTGACAAATCTAATAATAACACGTAAGTAAAGGAAATTAATGTATTCGGTAAGTGTTCAGTTTTGGGGGATGTAGACAGAGGAATCTAATACAAAGGGGGAAAGACTGGTAAAGCAAGTCATTGAAAGTTAAGAGGAGAAACAGGATGATTAAGAAACATAATACTAAACTGTTGTCTTAGCTGAAGTGTAGATAACTAATTAAGATCTAGATGAACATATCTATAACCATTTATGGGGTATATGAGTGACAGATGTAAGATGAGTGATGAAGGAATACAAAGTATTATAATGGATAGATAGAAAATAACAAATGGAGGTGGGCAGGCAAAAACTGTTCAGTTTACCAATGAAGCCTTGGAGAAGTTGATTTTCAGCATGCTGGGAATTTTAAATCATTCTTTAACATCTAGTTTTAATTCACAGCCTCAAATCCTGCTCACAATGGCCGTGTATGCAGCACCTGGGGCAACTTCCACTTCAAGACCTTTGATGGAGACATATTCTCCTTCCCTGGGCTCTGTAATTATGTTTTTGCCTCCCACTGCAACACTCCCTATGAGGACTTCAACATCCAGATTAGGCGTGAAGTGGTGGCAAATGCTCCAACAATCAACCGTATCACCATGAAGCTTGAAGGTGTAGTTGCTGAACTAACAAAGGGTGTTGTCCTGATCAACAGCAATAGGTAAGCCGATTCATAACTTACCAAGTTTTGGTAAGGTTTTTCAAACTTGCCAAGTACTTTGGTGTATTTGAGGAGAAACAACTATGTGTTCTTCAATAAATCTGACAATTTTACCAACATAATTAACAAATAAAATGCTATTAATTCCTATCACAGAAAATCAATCGTTCCTTGAAATATTAACTGAAAAATAAAATTTGGACGAAAAATCCTGAGAAGTTGGATCCAAGTTTAGATCTATATTTGATAATGTTGGACCATCTTATTTTTTAATTGCTTTTCTTAAAAAAAAAAAAAAAGCATTATTTTAGAATCCCTACAGATGCTGGATACCACAAGCTTATCAAACATCTGGATCAGACATTAACTAGCATTTTTTTTACCTTTCCCCAGGGTTCAACTGCCCTATAGTCAATCCGGTATTACGATAGAGAAAAGCAGCATTTACGTGAAAGTTGCCAGCAAAATCGGTGTTGTGTTATTATGGAATGAAGATGACAGCATCCTGGTAAGAACTGTTCCTGGACCTCTCTACACCTTCAGAGAGTAGAGCTAATCTTTGATTAGGCCAGTCCCTATCTTTTTAGAGGGTTACTACTGCCTTCTTATCTCATACTGTTGAGCAGTTCTTTCCTAGTAAAGATAGGCTTGCATCCAGGTAGTCCTAAATAAAATTACATGGATTTGTACCTAGTAGATAGCAATTGTCTGAGTAAAATAGGATGAAAAATCACTTTTGTTATATAATTACTTATTGGTATTATTATATGGCCTAATTACCCCTTCAAATATATAAATTTCTAGCAGAATTTCGCTTTCCTAGGACTTCATTTTTGCTGTGGATTTGATTTTCTTCATGAAGAATTAATAGAAAGAGGCTGAGAGCAGTATAAATACTACAGTGAAAACTTAAGTCTGTGTCACTAGCATCAGTAGCTTAGACTCTGCCTTGTAGATCAAATCCAGGCCAGCTCTTTATTCTATCCTCCAGGTTAGAATTAAATTGCTCAATAAAATACCACAGATCTGACAAAAAATACTTAGAGGCAGCAGGTGCAAGTCTTTTCTGTGGTCTTGAATATATTGTAGAATGTTTATGCTAACTTCTATCAACTTACTATCCTTCATTTTAGCTGGAGCTGAATGAGAAATATGCCAATCAGACTTGTGGACTTTGTGGGGACTTCAATGGCTTTCCAATTTACAATGAATTCTTTTCAAACAGTAAGTGTTTTAAATAAAAAATATTGGCTTGCAGGGTCTCCAACATCCCTTTTTTTGGTATTCTTTAATCTCTGACATCATCGGCATTCCTCTTTCCTATCCTGTTAAATTGTTTACTCAGAACATATGATTTAATCTCAGTTTAAAAATATGTAGTACAGAGATCAGATAATGTGATTTAATACTTAAAGTGTAAATATAGTACTGGTGCTGACAACTGATTCCATATTTCTTGCATGCCATTGTTGCACACCATTTTGGCATATCTAATTAGCTAACTCCATTAAAATTATTCAGATTTTCACTAATAAGATAAATCATATAGAAATATATTCAGTAAAACAAATGGCAATTGAATTTTTTAAACAGTACATTTCTTGTTTCAGTTCTGTCTTAAAATTGGTATATCCACATTTCCCAGCTGAATTGCATAATCTTTGTAAGATCTTATCTTTATCTTTTTAAACAATCCCCAGTGTGAGCATTTTCCTAAACCTTGTCTTACAGCAGTCTCTGTTTTTCAAATCCCTATTTAGATTTTTTTTTCTCTTCCCTACATGGGCTCAATATAATCTGGAAAGAGTTTATTTTTCTAGTAGAAATCTTGGTGTGCATCTAGACATAATAGGCTGAGAACTGTTTTCTAATGTTTACTTTTTCTAGGGTGCTGTGCAAGGTAAACTGAGTCAGTGCTTCCTTTGGAAAGGGTGATGATCACATTTAAAGACTTAAGGGAACTAACTGCCTTGATCAGTCTTGAGCCAAATTCTTGAGAGAAGAAAAAAATAACAGGCAGCTGCATTGAACAAAACCCCCCAACCTTCATTATTAAACTTCTTTTCCACAGATATTAGGATGTCTGCCTTGCAATTTGGAAATATGCAGAAAATGGATGGGCCAACAGAACACTGTGAAGACCCCACTCCTACCCCACCATACAATTGCCCTGAAAATCTTGTAAGGATTTTTTTACTATCCTTTTATTTTTCTTTCAAATTTATCTGTTCCCTTCTACAGCTTCAGAGAGGTCAACAGGACAAGCCCTCAGGTGAAACTAACTGAAAGAGGGCTATAAAATTCTATTAAATAATAATTACCCAAACTAACAATACCAAAAGGAAAAAAAAAAAAAAAAGAAAAAAAGAGAAAGCTTCTTTCTGTTTACTGGAAGTTCTTTACTTTTTTTCTCCGAAGGATGACATATGCCAGAAAACACTGACCAGCTCTGCATTTGCAGAATGTAATGACCTTGTTGATGTTAGAGAGTACATTACAGCTTGCCAAGACGACTTGTGCCGCTCTGAAGAATCTAAAAACTCCTCATGTATCTGCGACACCATTGCTGAATACTCCCGGCAGTGTGCTCATGCTGGTGGGCATCCCCTGAACTGGAGAACCTCAAACCTGTGCAGTAAGTATCACTGCAGACAGCCTTACTTTGTGCTCAGTGAATAACAAACAACAAGCTCTCAAATGATGCTGAGGACGCCTGAAAAGTTACAGGCCATTCAAGATTGTGTTCTTCAGGGGATTCTGATGTACAAGTTCCAGCATGAAGACTTAAAAAAAGCAAGCTAAGGATTTTAATGCACACTGGATTAAACACTACAAACACTGACATGGCTACTAGTGAGAGTTGAAGTGTAATTTAATTAAATGGGACAGTAAATGAAGCAAATAAAAGAGAAACAAGAAGAAAAAATGAGGCAAGCTTGCTTGCTTGCTTGCTTTTATTCCTGTTTCTCTCCTTTTTTGGTGGCTACAGCATTTCTTGTTCTCAATTATTAACTGATTGGGTCTTCACAGGTGTTTGGCTGGTTAAGCACTTATTTATCTCCTCTTTCATGGTATTGAGGAGTTTGCACTGATTTAGACACACACTTGCTTATGGCAGGGTACCTGTTGATACTGTCACCAGTATTTTCTCCCTTCTGATGGTATCAGAAAATGCAAATACACTAAAGCTTTAGGAATTTAAGTCTTACATTTCGCTAGCAATACAGGTGTTCATGGGAAGGGAGCCTTCAGTAGAAACACATCCTTGCTGAATTTCTGGGGTTGTTACCTTGCTGTCCCTAGAAATCCAGTTACTGAGCCAGTTCTACACTAGTCATGGAATACACATCTCCACAGTAAAATATGGATGTAGGTGATTAAACTTGCAAATTTTGAGAGCTGGTAGTCAGTCTGCAGTTTGGTGCACTTTTTTAATCTAGCTGGAAAACTTAAATGGATCTATATATTTACATGTGTAGTGAACTAGAAATACTTTTGACTGAAAAAAATATTAATCTTTCTTCCTTTTAAATTTCAGCCAAGAAGTGTCCTTTTAACATGCAGTACGAGGAGTGCAACTCCCCCTGTGCTGATACATGCTCAAATCCTGAAAGATCTCAGTTTTGTGAAGAACATTGTATTGATGGTTGTTTCTGCCCCCCAGGCAAGTTCTAAAGTATTCACATCTCTTATCTCAAAGAACAATAGCTTACCTGTAGGATCTGGGCAGGTTCCATGTGGGCTTTCAGTCTCATGTATTTGCATTTTTCACAGCTGCAAGTGAAAAGCATTTGTCATGTCTCAGCTGAGAAAAGATATCTGAATTAATTGCCAACACATGTGCAATATTTAGAAAGCAGGAAGAAAGAACAGCAAACAGATCAAGACCAGTCTTTCAACCAGCCACCTGTGCTACAATAAGTCCCTCTTTCAGAGCAGGTGGAATTTAAGAATACAAAGGTTGAATCCTTCACTGAGCAAACTGACATTCATACTGCCCTCAGTATTGGTATGCCCATTCACAACAGCTGCAGATCTCCCTCTAAGGTGATATTTAGGATTTCTAAAAAACAAAGTGGTATATAGGAAATGCCTCTTTAATTCATCAAGGTTTTGTCTTTCTTTTTTTTTTTTTATATTTTATTTTTTAATCTAGGGACCGTATTTGATGACATCAACAATTCTGGCTGCATTCCCCAGCAGCAGTGCTCCTGTATTTACAATGGCAACACCTACGCTACAGGAACTTCTTTTTCAGAGCCGTGCCAGACCTGGTAACCTTTGTTGCTTTTCTAACTCACTATTTCCTCTCATAAATTTAATGAGTTTAATAGTTTATTATATGCCATTGCATCATTTGTAATTGACATGTGTATTTAACTGACCGCTGCAGTTCCAGAATACCCTTAAAGAACATTATTTGTTTTATTTAGCAACAGCCATAACTTGCTTTGCACTCTAACTCATGGTGATCAAAGCAAGGATTTACAATGTTTAGATTTCACATCAGTCAATTAAAATGCTCCCTCTTTGTTTATTTTGTTCAAACATTTGGAGTTCTCTAAGAGGAATGAAGTTGCAGTCGTTAATGTATTTGCAAATATTTATTTTCTCTGGAGAAAGCAAGGGATGACATAATATAACCTCCATTTCACAATTATTAATCCTGTACCTGTGCACTATCACATCACCTTAGAAAACAGACACAACCTGCATCAGGAGTAAGTGTGAAATTACATTTCCTTATTTATTAATTTATGATATAATTATATTTAAAAAAAAAAAAGAAAACAAAATCAAAAAACCCACAAAAGATGTTTTGTCATTGTGCTTTATGTTAGCTGAAATAACGCAAACAATTATTTATCCAATACCTGTTTTGGAGAGTTCAACTGTCCAAAGATAGAAAACAATTAAATAAGCAAGGTGAATGGTTCCAGAGTCATTCAATCACAAGTTCACAATGTTTTGGAAAGTCCTAAATCTAGATTCACTATGTCTCAAACTACAGCTGAAGGGGAAAGCAATAACAAACTAGCTGAACCTAACATCACTGTTACTCTGGACCACTGTTACTGATTTCAGCTAACTTTATTCTTCCAGTACCTGCAATGGAGGCCAGTGGAGCTGCCAAGACATGTCATGCCCAGGAACATGTTCAGTAGAGGGAGGTTCACACATTTCCACATATGATAAAAAACGTTATGATCACCATGGAGACTGCACCTACGTCCTTTCTAAGGTGGGACTCAGACATTACTAGGTCATAAAGCCTTATACATTTATAGAAAGAAATCTCAATCAAAAGACATCTCAATCAACACTTCTGCAACTTAGCACTTTTGACATGCAGACGTTTAAGTACCTGCCACTTAGCCAGATGTTTTCTATGCTGCCATTCAAATCAAAATAATCATTTAACTAGTAGGATGTCATGCAACATTCTTCAGTATGATTAATCCAGCTTTCTTACTGAGTTGCATCATTTTTGTCATGTTACCTTATTAAGTGGTATTTGGCCAAATGGTACCAGTCTGAAAAATTACGTTAATAGTTCTTTAAAAAAAAAAAAAAAAAAAAAAAATTAAACCGAAATTTGTTTCATTTCTGTGAAATTCAAATACAGAAAATCAGTTCAAGTTACCTGATACATTTCACTTTGGGTTTGAACATTTTTAAAGGAAATAAAAAGATTAGAATTAAATGATAAGTAAAATATTTAATTACAGACATGTGTAAGTGAAATGTTTTGATCTTTTAGGGAGCTTTTTCCAGTTGTGTTTTGCTTTCCTTTTTCGTCACCTACACAATTCAGTAAAATGAAATAAAATGTTGTCTGTTACTGTTCACCTGGGGCATGTTTTATCTGAAATTTTTGTCTAGTACAGATAGTGGCTAGAGAAATATGAGAGTTACAGTAGAATTGAATCCAACATTAGAAGTTGGCATGAATAAAAACACCAAATATGAATATGGATAAACATCTTGATATCCATATGGATATAATCAATTAAATACAGATTCAATTTTTCTTGTTCCTGATCACTATAAGAGGGCAAAATTGAATCTTCAGCCAAAGAGGGTCAGGGCTTGATTTGTGAGAGTGTGTATCTTCTTCAGAAACAGAAATATTTTCTCAGAGTTGAGAGATTTTATAGGGAAAGCTTCTGTAATTAGACTTCCATGAAATAACTGCTGGCATTATTTTTCAGGACTGTAAAGATGAAACATTCACCATCCTGGTAGACCTACGCAAATGTGGCCTAACAGACACTGAGACGTGCTTAAAGACAGTGACCCTCAACATGAATAACGGACAAACTGTAAGAATGCAAAATAAACATATTAAAAATGTGGAGAGAAAAGTAAATCTGAGAAAAAAAATCAGTCAGGGAGCTGCATTTCTTTGTCAAAGGTTCAATGTATATGATGAGTACATGTTAATTTTAATCAAGTGAAAAGAAACTGATTTTGTTATGAAAATCAGATCAGCCATAAATTTGGCTTTGTGGAATGTCACTAAGAAACACATTGTACTCACACAGCAGAAAAAGGCTATTTTCTCTCCTAATTAGATGAAAAAAACTCAAGAGTTTTAAGGTTAGTAACCACAATTACAACAGTAAGGGATGTAATTCATCACTAAGATGTGTTCAAAGAAAACAAGATGATGCAATCCCCTAAAAAACTGAGAAAGTCCCTTTAAAAGTAATTCTTTTACAGCAAGGAAAATTAGTAAAGTGTACAAGGTAAAAATATGGAGGAGGTGAATTCACCTTTTTACTGAATATCTGTTTAATTAATATCACCATTGTTACTCTTTGGATTATAGTTATTATTCACACATGGTTGGCAGTCCAGAAAGCCAGCCTGGGCTGCATTAAAAGCAGTGTGGCCAGCAGGTCAAGGAAGGTGATCTGCCCCTTGACTCCACTAGGAGGAGACCCCATCTGGGGAGGTGCATCCAGCTCTGGGGCTCCCCAGTCTAAGAAGAACATGGAACTTTTGTGATGAGTCCAGAGGAGGGCCACAGAAACAGTCAGAGGGCTGGAGTCCATCTCCTGTGAGGACAGGCTGAGAGAGCTGGAGTTGTTCAGCCTGGAGGAGAAGGCTCTGGAGAGACCTTAGAGCACCTTCCCATCCCTAAAGGGGGGCCTACAAGAAAAGCTGGAGAGAGGCTTCTTACAAGGGCACAAAGTGATAGAACAGTCACTTTGTGATTTCTTGGGAGTGACTTCAAACTGAAAGAGGGCAGGTTTAGATTAGATGTAAGGAAGAAATTCCTCACTGGCGTGGTAAAAAACTGGAACAGGTTTCCCAGAAAAGCTGTGGATGTCCCATCCCTGGAAGTATTCAAGACCAGGTTGGATGGGGTTTTGAGCAACCTGGTCTAATAGAAGGTGTCCCTGCCCATAGCAGGGAGGTTAGAACTAGAAGACTTTTAAAGGTCCTTCCCAAACCAAACCATTCTGATTCACACAGTTGCCTTTTGTTCCTCTTCCTTAATAGGTTGTCGAGGTCAGACCTGATGGTAGTGTGTTTGTGAACTCAATCTACACCCAGCTGCCCATGTCAGCAGGTATATTTTTTCTCTAACAGTGAATGATACAAGTGCTTTTGAAATAAAGAAAAATGTTTGGTGTCATAAAGTGCATGCATAGACAAGAGTGTGAATAGTAGTAAAGAGTATTTACAATCTCCTGATTTGATCACTGTCAGGTCTATTTCCTTCTCCTTCTCTCAACTTTCTGCACAACATTGAATGCAGAAGACATCTTTTTACCTCTCTTACCTCTTTTCTTTAGCTACTACTGCTGTGCTCACATTTGCTTAGAAAGAAATTGGAATTTTGCTTTATTTCAGTAACTAACGATTCTACAAGATATCTTTGACCTCCAGATCTCCTTATTTTCCCCCTCCAGCAGAGTGAGGACTCCCATGTATTCTGTACAAGCTTAGAAACAAAAATAGAAATATTCTTTTTAACTCTCAGTGCCATACAGTTTTTCCTACTTATTCTCTTTGAAGTAGTAATCTCTAACTGCTTATGTTCTGTCAGCAAATAGAGTTAACTTGGTAGCTGCAAGCAGATTTTGAACCATAAATTTCGATTTATATTTCTGATTCGTTTTCATAAAGATTGGCTTTATTTCACTTCAGAATTTGCAACAATTGTGACAGAAATTCAAGAAGAACAGTATCATGTTTTCAGCATTTGACCTCACCCTGAGAGTGATCATTTTGTTTTTCACATATAGCTAATGTCACCATGTTCAGACCTTCATCATTCTTCATGATCATGCAGACAAACTTTGGGGTCCACCTTGAAGTCCAATTCATACCCATGATGCAAGTGTTTGTGCGACTGGATCCTATTTTCAAAGGACAGACTTGTGGTAAGTGAATGAAATATAAGAACACCTTGATTAATGCCTTCTGTGTAGTATGAGCAGTATAAACTTTTCACTGCTTTTCAACAGGTCTCTGTGGAAACTTCAATAATATCCAAACTGATGACTTCAAGGTCATAAGTGGAATAATTGAAGGAACAGCAGCAGCATTTGCTAATACGTGGAAAACTCAGGCTTCATGCCCTAATATCCAGCAGAGTTTTGAGAACCCTTGTGCACTCAGCATTGATAATGGTGCGTGCTTCTTAGAATTCTTTCTACTTTGCTTTTTTTTCTTCTTTCTTCTCATCCCTAAGGAAAACACATCTGTTGGAAAGCAAAGATAAAAAATAAAGATTTACATATTTGGTCAAAGCATACACCTGAATTCAGAAACAAATATTCAAAAATGAAAGCACTGAAGATAAGTAACAAAATAAAGAAAGAGCCACAGAAACACAGCTGAAAGAAACTGTAAGGTCGAACCGTTTATTCAGTCCCTTCAGCGAGTCCTCATCTTTGGTATTAGGAACCTTAGACCACAAGCTGAGTGAAAAGGAAAAAGAAGAGACAGAGAAGGAGAGATTTAATGAAGCGTCAGAACTGGCTTCATAGACCAGGGCACTGTGGTTTTATGACTAATGAAATACAAAGAGTAATGTGTATTTGTGTTGTTTCTATTTTTCACAGAAAAATATGCTCAGCATTGGTGTGGACTGCTGACTGACAGCAAAGGACCTTTTGCTGATTGCCACTATGCAGTGAATCCAGCTGTTTACCACACGGTACTTTGTTAGACTGTTTTTCCCTTTAGAAACAATAGAAATGGAATCATTACAACTAGCTACCAGAAAAGGACTGTTCCAGACGTGTCTTATGCAATGCCTATGTCTTAATTCCTATACTGCAGCACTTCCTTCTTTCAACATGTGTTTCTGTTTGTGTTGTAACATTACCTTATTCCAATTGTCAGTCTTGGCTTCGAGATCCTGACTTGTTTGCAATGAAAAGGCAGTTATTTGCTCCTGGAAGGTTTTACACATATAGCAGAAAGCGTATGTAAACACATGTCAAATGCTTGTTTGAGTATCAGTGAACTATCATCTCATCAGCCTGGTACCTCATTAATAGCCACTTGGCACAGAATGCCCCTTACCTAATAATCATCATTCTGCTATCAGTGTGTTGCAAATCTTTCTTCCCATTAGGAGTCATGCAGGTACAGACACCAGCGAAAGGATGTGTCTGAACTGCATGCTGTGAATAGAGCTTTGTATGCTATTGTGCAGCATATCCATTAATGTGTTTCAGAGGACCATGAAGCTGTTAAATGTATACCAGACTTGAAGACCACTATTTTCTAGTAATAGCTGCAGACATCCAATGAATTTTCATTAACTGCGTTCTCCCCTGCCAGAAAACTTAGACAAAGACTAGACAGTGAGAAAAGCTATGTTACTGGGGTCTATGAATAAGCATATCTGAAGAAGGATTAGGGAATAAGACCAGAAAAATAATGTTCATTGTTTTTTTAGATGGACCATATTACCACTGCTAAAACTTTATTTTTCTCTCCATTCTTAGAACTGCATGTTTGACACATGTAACTGTGAAAACAGTGAGGACTGTCTGTGTGCAGCCTTGTCTTCCTATGTGAGAGCTTGTGCTGCAAAAGGAATCCAGCTGCAGGGATGGAGGACTGATGTCTGCAGTAAGTACTCTTATCTACCCCATTTCCTAAGAACACACATCAATAAAAACTGCTGATCAGAGATTATTTTCTACTCATTTCTAGACAAATTAGTAACTGTTGAGGAAGGAATTTTCTTAAGTGCACTGCTGTCCCCTTAGAATCAATCCATTGCTAGCAAGAGTGAATATGAATAGATGGGAGACATAGCTTGACTGGGAAAGGGACTGCTCTTATGAAAGTGCCTCCACCTGTTTTTGAACTTTGAGTTTCACTACAACTGTGTCATAAGCTATTGTAGGGAAAATGTGACATATTAGAATAACAGTACTACTAATACCACTTGCAAATGAGAGGTCTTTGAAGCTGCATGCAGAGTTCTGCTCATCCAGCAGGTCTGTTTTCAGCATACCAGAAGACATTCAGGGAGATATCTTGTCTCATACTTCAAGGAGTTTAGGAGTCTTAGCAATGAATGGCAACACCAAATGGAGGTTTCTAAACTTTCTGAACTTTCATTTGAAAAATTATTTTCTTCTTTGCAGGCATCACTTACTCTACATGTACAGTAGCTTTTCCGATCTAACTCTGGAAGTATTCAGAAATACATTTACATGAAAGATGTAACATAAGCAGACATGCACAGTATTGTTTACATGTTATTTCTGCTGCCTATGTTGTTTTTCTTTCCCATGAGAATTTACCATCTAGAATTAACAATCTATTTTATTTTCCTCTCTCAAGCAAAGTACACCACCTCATGTCCCAAATCCCTAAGCTACAGCTATACCATCTCCTCCTGTCCACCCACTTGTCGGTCTCTGAGTGAGCCTGATGTCACATGCAACATTAAGTTTGTCCCAGTTGACGGCTGCACCTGCGTAAATGGAACCTACATGGATGAGAGTGGCAAATGTGTGCCTGCTAATGAATGCCCCTGCTACTACAGAGGATCTCCCATACCATTTGGAGAAGTTGTCCATGAAAATGGGCAAGTATGGTAAGTGAATCATTTGAAAAACATTCAAGCAATAGCATACCTAGTTTCTCATTTAAATCAGTTACATTTAAGATGGTTTCATCCTGTGTCCTGAATTTCAATACAGTGCTCTTCTCTTGAACTTCTTCAGCTTTAAGTTCTTTCATTTTCAACTTTTACGAATTGTGTGTATTCCCCTGAGCTGCAAGGTAGGGACAGAAGCAGAATGAAGCCACTACAATGAAAAGTGAAATCATCAGTGACCTGTTACACCACTTAAAAACACACAAGCCTGTGCCTGTGGGGTCCACCCAAGATTACTGAAGGAGCTGGTGGAAGTGCTTACTGAGCCACTTGCAGTCATTTGTCAGCAGTCCTGGGTAACCAGTGAGGTCCCAGTTCACTAGAGGTTGGCAAATGTGATGCCCACCTACACTAAAGGCCAGATGGAGGATCTGGTGAACTACAGGTCTGTCAGCCTGACCTTGGTGCTAAGGAAGATTATGGAACAGGTCACCTTGGATGCCATCATGTGATACATATGGGACAACCTGGGGATCAGGCCCCAGCATAGCTTTAGGGAAGGCATGTGCTGTTTGCCCAACCTGATCTCCCTCTATGACCAGGTGACCCTCTTAGTTGATGAGGGAAAGGTTGTGGATGTTGTCTACCTGTACTCTGATACTAGGGCAGTGATTGTCCATCTGTACTGGGCATTGGTGAGAGTGCACCAAAAATCCTGTGTTCAGTTTTGGACCCCTCACTGCAAGAAAGACATTGAGGTGCTGGAGTAAGACCAGAGAGGGCAACAAACCTGGTGAAGGGTCTGGAGCACAAGTCTTACAAGGCACAGCTGAGGGAGCTGGAAAGTTTAGCCTGGAGACAAGGAGACTCGAGGCACCTTATCACTCTGCACAACTGCCTGAAAAGAGGTTGTAGCAAGGTGAGGGTCTGCCTCTTCTCCCAGCTAAAAAGTGATAGAGATGTGAGGAAATGGCCTCAAGTTACACCAGGGAAGCTTGAGATTGGATATTAAAAATTTCTGCATGAAAAAAGAGTTATAAAGCACTGGAATAGGCTGCCCAGGGAAGATGTTGAGTCACCATCCCTGGAGGTATTTAAAAAACCTGCAGATGAGGCACTGAAGGACATGCTTTATTGGTGGACTTGGCAGTGCTGGTTGGACTCAATGATCTTAAAGGTCTTTTCCAATCTATATGTTTCTATGATTCTATGATATTTCTAGACTGATAGAGCAATTATATTTATGGACATTTTTTATTTAATTCCATAATTTTTCAAGTATAAATTTATGACAATACCAGCAAGGAGAGATCTTACAAGAATGTAACAAGCAGAGATGTATACTCATCCCAACCTATGAATTTTCCTGTTAAGCAATAATGGATATCATATGAAAGCAGCACATGTCGTGTTATTGAGGGAAATTTTTCCTGAGACTGCAAAACAGCATTTTGGAATACTTTTCAAAATTCTCACTTGACAAGGGATAAGTAGCTCTCCATCTCAATATATGGTTTGAGGGGGAAAAAAAAAATATGTTTTTCCCTCTCTCACAGCTCTTGTGTCCAGGGAAGACTGAATTGCATTGGAGCACCGAATCCAACTCCAGGTAAAAATAATCTTCCACTTATTTTTTTCTCTTTGTCAGATTTTGCAGAGAATAGTTCATAGAATTGATTCTTCTTAATGGATTTTTAAGAGAAGTATTTCTCAGTTAAAATACAACAGTCATCATAAAAGGCAGGAGTGCACCTACATTAATCATAAGACCTCTTTTTCTTAAAGACTTTTTTTTCTGAAATACTGTGTTTTTTTTTTTTTCCTGAGAATTCAGTGCTCTGAAGTGTATCAAATCAACAGATTGCACAGGGACAACAATCTCTGCTAACTGAAATAGGGAATTTCCAAGGAATTTCTAGATGGTTTTAATGGCTCCAGCTGTGGAATAAACTCTATACCATTTCTTTACTACTTTCACTTCTTTCCTTCCTCTAGTCTGTGAATCTCCCATGGTCTACTTTGACTGTAGAAACAACACTGCAGGAAAAACTGGAGCAGAATGTCAAAAAAGTTGCCAGACTCTGGATATGCAGTGTGTAAGTATGTCATGGCTGAACAACATGGTTCTTCCAGGTTTTGTCTGTGCTCTTACTGCTTAAGTAATTGATCCATCGGTTCTACTCAACATCTACAACACAGATACTTTATTCTTTTAGCAAAAGCCTAACGCAGTGTTCTGAAGCATCAGCAATGGGACCCTTAGATCAAAATATAACAAAGTAACATCCAAATTAAATCTTGAGATTAGTGTCTACCTTACTTCAGCTACTGCAGGTAACAAGAACTAGTAGTGAAAAATCTAGGGCTCAATCACACATTTGACTTCTGTAGGAGAAAATTAGTGGCTAAAAACTGGCTAGGAGAGATGATTCTTTCTCGTACCCTGCTGCATTTGTGAACTTCTTGCACAACTAATAATATTACTCCACCTAGGTTCTTGGTGGCCACATGCCATTTCATAAATAAGTATCATATAGATAAACAGATTTCAGTGTAACTCAAACAAACCAGAAAAAGATTTTAACTTATTTTTCTTTTTAAAAGTCCATTCAATCACAAACCACCAACTACAAAGTGCAAGATCCGATGTATTTTAAATTTCACAGATGCCACCAGAACAATCAGGATTGGTATACATAAAACATTTATCTTTAACTGATTTATATTCTATTAAATCAATGGCTAATAACTTCCCTTTTGTTCCATTGTCCTAGAAGTTCTTCATAGTTCTCTACCATTTAACCTGGGCAGCAAAAAGAACATATAAAGACATTTTATGATTATTTAATCTTCCTTTTCTTAATGTGATTATTTCATTCTGAAATTTTGTCTTTCTCTTGTCTTTTCCAGTATAGCTCACAATGTACATCTGGCTGCATGTGCCCAAATGGGCTTGTGTTAGATGGAAATGGTGGTTGTATTCCTGAAGACGAATGTCCCTGTATTCACAATGAAGCCATGTATCAGCCTGGGGAAAAGATCAACTCTGACTGTAACACCTGGTAAATACATCTGTGGAAGTAACATTCCTGGTTCCCTCATATGTCTTTCTAAAGACCTTAAAATAGTACAGTAGTGACGAAAGACTTGGATTGCACCTTTAATCAGTTGATGGATCTTTTAGTTTTGGAATATGTAGTATGACCAGGTTACCTTTTGATCTATATCAGATGGCCAAAGCACAGAATGGGAAGAAACATTTAGGACTACAGGGTTCATTAAGTATGTTGCTTTGCAGTTAATGCATTCAGAGTAGCAGAACAGAACTTTGCTTTAATTCTTTACATGAAAAACGTAAAAGACTATTTTAACTCCAGAATCAATATAACATATAGTGGGATGAGTTGCCAAACAAACACCGATTGCTGGGATATGTCTACTCAAAACAGTGAGTTGTTCTGTTATTAATATATTTTATTCTCTTTTCTAGTGTATGCAAGAATAGGAAGTGGGAATGTACCAAAAATCAATGTCTGGGCACTTGTGCTGTTTATGGAGATGGCCATTATAGCACCTTTGATGACAAAACATTCAGCTTCAATGGAAATTGTGAATACACACTAGTCCAGGTACTGATAGTTAGCAATAAAAAGTGTGACGTAATCTTGATCGTGTCTGTAAAAATAATATATTTTTAAATGCTATTCTCTACCCAGGACCACTGTGGGAAGAGTGGCTCAGCCAACGGGACCTTCAGGGTTGTCACTGAAAATATTCCTTGTGGCAACACTGGGACAACTTGCTCAAAATCCATCAAAGTCTTCTTAGAGGTAAGAAGGTTGGGCATATAGACCAGTTTTGTTCTGTATCTGTTAGGGTTTAGGAGAAACTTAGGTATCCATTGCTTCAAGGAAGTTGGAAAATATTTTAAAAAGCAATCCAATTGTTAAGTTAGGTTTACATTAGATGCAAGTGAAATATTTGGTAGAGCTTCCTCGCTTTCTGTATTTTCCATCTCCCACACTATCTTATACCAGTCTTGGTAAAACCACAGAAAAATAATCTTTAGCAGAAAGTTAGCCCATTGTGTCAGAATATTCTTTTATTCTATGCAATGTAGTTCCTTCATGATGTTCAAAAGACCCTTTTTTTGGCAATGCCATTTAAAATATCTTTTATCACACTTCCAGGAACCTGAGATCTGAGTGATATAGTTTTGAGCTATATATTTTTGCTGATTTGTTGTCATTATATAAACTATTCATGGTACTCTTAAAAGCAGAAAAACATGTTTGAGAGCACAGCTGCAGCTATGAAGCTCATTTCTAATTACCTTTTCCTCCTGTTTCAGAGCTATGAACTGATACTTGGTGAAGAACATGTCAGTGTAGTAAAGAGAGGACAAAATGATAAGGTGCCATACACAATCCGCTATATGGGTATGTACCTGGTAATTGAGACCACGAGCGGACTGATCCTCATGTGGGACAAGAAAACCAGCATGTTCATCAAGCTCAGCCCTGATTTTAAGGTGGGGAACTAGCACTTAAATGGCAATATACATTCCGGATTTGACTGGGTATGAATTTTGTTGAGATCCTGCCAAGATCCCGAACAGGTGATGTCTTTAGCATTCCTGCAGGACATCCCATGTTGTTTTTCATTCCTTTGGTACCTAAGGAATCTATGATGTCCCTCTGCTGTTCTGAGCTCTGCAGGCAGCTTTTAGTGCCTATTTGGCCTGACAGAACTTGAGTTGGCAAACTGCTGTTTCGGACTTCGTTAAAATTACCCACTGAACCTCGGTAAAGGTTACCAGACATTGTTAAAGTTACATAACTACATGTGTATAAGTCAACTGAGTAGTCTTCATCTTGAAAGCAATCCATTATTTCCTATTCTCATTGACACAAAAGTCAAACTGTCATACTTCAGGAACAAGGAAGGGTATTATGAGTGAGTATTTTGAGTGAAAGCCTCTTGTGTGCTACCACATATTTTTCAAGCTTCTAACTACACAGGTGATAAAGAAAATGCATTCCCATTGTCATACTCCTTTTCCTGGCTTATGATATATAAGTACTAAAAACTGTAGTAAATAAGGAATTTACTATCTTATTGTATACCACAATGACATTTAAATTAGGTATATAAATAAAGTGTAATTTAGATCTAGATATATCAACTTGCTTCAATACCATAGGTTCTTTTGCTGCCTCACCCACTGGCATTTAATAAAAACAGTGGTTGTACAGAAAGAATGCACCTTAGATTCATAGAGAAAGCATAGCATCTATTGCAGCCTATCACAGTTGTACAGATCCATACATTTAGAATGAGGGATATTTCTGGATGTGCAAGGAAAATGTTATTTCTTTTTATACGTGTAAGCAGTCTTAGTGGTAAAGACACAATGAGTAGATTATGTGGCTGAACTGGTAATACTTATGACAGCTTTATAAAGCTCGTTTCTTATAAGTACATCTATTGTATAAAACAAGGCTTAAGTGTAAATCTTAATCAGCTAACTGAGTCCTTATTTCCTTGTCAAAGCAGAAGGTTAAAATGGCAAAGATGGTTTTATTGTTCAGATTTAAAAGAAGAAAAGTCAAGAGCAGTATCCTTTCAGCCTTAGTGGTCATGGTCTGTTGCTGAGGAAACGGAGCATGAAGATGCTCAGAATGATAGAATGGAATGGCACCATTCCAAGAGCTGAATTTCAAGTATTCTTTCAGTCTCAGGTGTTGTTTCAAGATTTCTCACATCCATTATTATTTTATTTACTTCCTTTTGCAGGGCCAGATCTGTGGCCTCTGTGGAAATTATGATGGCAACAGCATCAATGACTTTACTACAAGGAGTCAATCTGTAGTAGAGAATGTCCTAGAGTTTGGAAACAGCTGGAAAGTATCCTCTACATGTCCTGATGCTAACAGCATCAAGGACCCATGTTCTACCAACCCTTACCGAAAGTCCTGGTCAGAGAAGCAGTGTAGCATCATCAACAGCAACGTCTTTGCTGCCTGTCACTCTCAGGTATGACCAGGGAAGAAGTTTATTGTGTGAAAACTAAGCCTGTGTGTCACTGAAGGTGCTATCCTCATATGTTTTAACATGCATGCCTCACCTATTAGCATGTTTCACTTCAGATAGTGTCAAGAAAACTTCAATCTGAATCCCATGCGGTGGAACAGATTTATAGTCCCTACCTGTAAGAAATAAAGGCATTAAGTTCATAGGATTTATCCATGTATTACAAAAGAATAATAATTTCATAATTACTGTGTATTTCCTTATAGCCTGAGTTGAATAAAAATTCTCTTATATCAGGTACAGAACACAAGCTCAACTTGGTAATAGCTTAGTAATGAAGTATCAGCATAGCCTTTATCTGACACTAAGTACACACCAAACATTGCCAGATAACTGTGCGATTGCCTAATATTTCTTGGGCAAATTAATCTAATCTTCCCCCAGGACCATGTCTGAGTGTCTAAAAAATCTGTCAGTATGTGTTTTGAATGCATCATTTGGCATCACCTCTAGCATTCAACAGTGTCTTACAAAAGAAAAAGAAATTACGGGTGTAGGCCTTTCTTCTCAGATACTTCAATTTTAAGAAAATTATTCTAGCAAAGCTAAGAAAGAATTTAGAAGGCAAGATGTGTAGTATTAAATTTCTGTTTAATAACAGGTTGAACCAGCAAAATATTACCAAGCATGTGTGACGGATGCTTGTGCCTGCGACTCTGGAGGAGACTGTGATTGCTTCTGCACAGCAGTAGCTGCCTACGCCCAAGCATGCAGTGAAGTTGGTGTATGCATAGCCTGGAGAAGCCCATCAATTTGTCGTGAGTTTTATGTCATAAACACTTCTTCTGAAAGTGTAGTTGAATGTACAGTGTCTTGCTGGTGTCCTTGAAACATGCTCTGGGTATCTTACATATGTGAGTTAGAATCTCACTGTGTAGATTTTTCACTCTTAAACTATTTGCCTGGGCTTTTTTTTTCTGAACATGTCCAACTTTCTGTTTCTCCTTAGCACTGTTCTGTGATTACTACAATCAACAAGGAGAGTGTGAATGGCACTATAAGCCTTGTGGAGCCTCCTGTATGAAGACCTGTAGGAACCCAAGTGGAAAATGCCTCAATGACTTGCCAGGTTTAGAAGGTAAAAACAGCTGCAAGTACCTTTTAGAGGGTACATATTATTATATTTTTAATTGTCTTTAATGGAGTGTATTTCCCTCATTAGCTGCATTTGCACAATTCCTCTCTCTTCAATATCATTACATCCACATGAACGGAGGCAGAGTATGGAAACTGGAGTCAAAAAGACCTCTAAGACTTAAGTCCTTGTGGGTGGGGTCTGCTGATGCTAGTACTCTGCATTACTTACTAGAGTTACTGGAAAAAAACAAAGTAAAAATGTTATGACAAAAACAAGACCTACAAATGCATCCTGCACAAATAAAACTTCTGCTGACTGTATTTCACTCCTATCTTTTCTATGTTGTACATACCCCCTTTCTTCCTCCAGGCTGCTATCCAAACTGCCCACCAGAGAAGCCATATTTCCATGAGGATCAGATGAAGTGTGTTAGTCTCTGTGACTGTTATGATGATGAAGATGGAAAGATATATAAACGAGATGAATGTAATATATGGTAAGACTTAACATACCAGCCTCATCATATACAAGGGAAAACGGTCAAAGGAGAGTGGGGAATTGCATGTTCCTTTTATAAGACAGGATTAGGCTATGCTGCCTGTGTAAAAATAATGCCTTACTGTCTAATGATGGGTTTCTTACTACATTAGTAAGAAGGTTTTATATGATTTTATGTTCTATTGATTTTGTTCCTGATTATATTGCAAATCCTCAGCAGAAAGACACATCAAGAACAAGAAGTCCTTTATGACCAGGCTTTTTCTCTTTCACATTCCTGTGGCAGGAAGAACATTGTGCCAGGGCTAAAGATATCTAATAGTGACCTACTTCCAAGGATTTTATTACATACTTAAATCGCTTGAGTATTTAGACTCCCTTTTTAGCCTGCTTTTTAGTACAGGAATATTGTAAGTGCAAGGAAAGTGATATGAAGGAAATAAGGAAAGTTTTCCTTAAGATTTCTGCCTGTAGCTTTGTGTAAAATTTAACTTCTATTTATAAGTTTGGGTTTGATATAAAGAAAGATTTGGGAAAATAATGGCCAAAAAGAAGCCAAAACCAACTGAACACTAAAGGAATAAGCACAAAGGAAGTGCCTTGCCTTTTGATGCCAGTATTTGTCAGAAAGATGACTAAACAAAGTAAATCAGAATCAAAAAATATATGGATTTTTATGCTTTCTATTTCAGTGAGTGCACATCAGAAGGTTTACAGTGCAAGTTCGATGATAAAGGTAAGGCAGCTAAGAAAAAATATTAGGAAAATGAAATATTGGCTATTACTTTTTCATAGATTTCTGACAATAAACTTCTTCTGAATTACAGCCTGCCACTGCATTTATGAAGGAAATAGCTATAAATATGGTGAACTCATCTATAACACCACAGATGGAACTGGATGGTGTTTCAGTGCAACATGCGATGTCAACGGAACAATAAGCAGAAACATCTTTAAATGTGGCATTTTTACAACAACCCCATTTACATTTTCTACAACTCAGCCCACAACTACTACTTCAGGTATGCATGAATAATCTTTAAAATAACTTATAAGTTTCTGTGAGTGACTGAAAGGGAGGACCTTTTCATCAGTTAATGGCATATAATTTTACTTGAAAATGTTGACTTCTGCTGGAGCCACTAATTCACGTGGCAGCTTCAGTTGCCAAAGAAGACCATAATCAAGGATGTAGAAATGAGTACAGCATTTCTTACCCAGTATCCACTGTTTCACCATGGTTTTTCCAGGGGGGGAAAAAAGAATAGAGCTTATTAATAATTGCATCCTGGAGAATCTTCTCATTTCCTTGCAAACAAAAACCAGCAGTTCTAGACCAGCTTCTGAAAACATGAAGGACAATTGCTGCCATTTCTTAAATTACTGAGCACATTGCTACCAACTGAAGATAAGAAATTTAGTTTGAGGAAATGCTCAAATTATTTATAACCATTGTTTAGAACCTTTCCTAATTGTATTTAACAACCAAATCAACAGTTTCCTTCTACTCCTGCAGTACACTTCTACTTTATTCCTGCAGTTAATTCATTATAGAGACCAAATGCTCAGTAATTTTGAGAAATATTCACACAAAATTATACTACAGGAAGAACTAAATATGCAAATTTAGGTCTTCTTAATGTTAATGAATGTTGTTAAGCAACATCCATATGAAGAAAGTGGTATCTATTTCACATGGTCATCTTCATAATGCTAAGAATATGAAAAAAATATTATTAAAATAACTAGAAAATACTTATTAGATTTTATATTTCATATATGCTATATGTATTCTCTATTATAATGCACTATATGCAAAATACATATATATTAAATATATATAATATTTTAGATTAGGTTTATAAATATGTTACATATTATTAAAATAAGTAGAAAAGTCATTATTCTGTAAAAATATTTTAAAGTCTTATGCAGTCTTATGCAGTTAAGAGTAAATAAATACAGAGATGATAGCAAGGAGAATAAACCTTCTCTACTTGTACCATAGAAATCATGAGATTATATTATCTAAGTACTAATGTACCATGCAAAGGATGTCAGATTAGCTTTATTTAGCTACAATTTTTTAATAGATGTCACAGAAAGTACCACTATAATAATAATAATAGAGACAAAAGATGAAAAACTACTTTAGAAATTAGGTTCAAGATTGCCTAAGCTTTAAAATTAAAATAGTTCATTGTATAAAAATTTATATACAACAAAAAATACATGGAAGATGAATAATTTTTTCCTGGTACTTCCTTTAATAAGAGCAAACAAGACTTATTGTTCCTCCTTTGAATTACAGAAATGACAACTGCAGCACCAGTGACAACCGTATGTGTGAAAAATGTGTGCACCTGGTCAGAATGGTATGATTCTACTCAGCCTGAAAACAAAGAGGACAGTGGAGATTATGAAACATTTGAAAGTCTCAAGGAAAAAGGATACAGTGTGTGCACAAACCCCAGTGGTGTTCAATGCAGAGCTAAAGAACACCCAGATACAGAAATTGATCACCTTAACCAAACAATACAGTGTAGTCAGAGCATAGGATTAATATGCAATAATCAGGACCAAGAATCTAAGCAGTGCCATAATTATGAAATCAGAATATCGTGCTGCAGATATGTACCATGTTCTGAAATACAATCTACAACACCAACAACCACAAAAGAATTCACAACAACTACTGCTGCAGAATCAACACAATTCACAGTACAGACAAAGATAAAACCAACAACACAAAAACAAGAAACTGAAGTGCAAACGAGTGAAGTAACTACAACATCACCCAGTGACAGAGAAACAACAACTACTCTGACTGAAACTTCAGTTACAGCAAGGACATCTCAAGTCTCAACAACAGGTTACCAAACTACATCTCCTATAGCAGAAACCTCCACTGTGACAACTCAGGCTCCAACACCACCCAATACCATCTCCACTCTCCCTGAACAAAAAACAAAAATCACTGTTGGCACCACAGCAGTTTCTGGTACTACTGCTCTGCCAACACAAGGCACGACTGTCCCGACATCCACACCAACAGTGCCCGCCCCAGCCACTAGCACTGCCACCAGCACTGCCACCACCTCTACAACCACCACTGGCACCAGCATGGAAACCCCGACAGCAGCAACTCTTCCAAATGTATTATCCACTACTGCTATTCAAACAACAGTATCACCCACTACTGCTTCCACTACTCCCGAAGCAAAAATAGGAAGCACAGCAGGCACCACAGCTATCCCCACTACCACACGTCAGATGAAAGAAGGCACCACCATCATAGCGACCACCACCAGGACCTCTCCGCTTCAGACCGAAAGCACCACCATCAATGTCACACCGAAACCAACAGTGCCCACACCAGCCACTAGCACTGCCAGCACCTCCAGGACCACAGAGGGAAGTCCCACAACACCTTCAGCCAAAACTGTTCCAGGTGAAACCTCCACTGCAGGAACACAGGCTCCAACTTCAGGTTCTACCACTTCCACAACTCCTGAAGCAAAAATAGGAAGCACTGCTGGCACCACGGCTGTCCCCACTACCACACGCCCAACAAAGGAAGGAACAACAGCCATCGCAACTACCACCAGGACCTCTCCCCCTCAGACTGAAGGCACCACAGTCATCATCACACCCACACCAGCAGTGCCCACACCAGCCACCAGCACCGCCAGCACCTCCAGGACAACAGAAGGAAGCACTGCA